GTCTGGTCTGTAGGCCCCTGAAGAGGCTTCAATCATATTCTGTAATCTTTGCTGCATAATTAGTAGATCTGCAGCATCTGCCTTGAGCTTTCCATAGCTCTAACACAAGTGGAACAGCTCAGAGCAGCCCCTCTCAGCCATGGCCAGCACACCAGTGCCTTGTATGGCACCCTCTCTGCTCTGCCCTGAGGATTATGGAATCATAAAGGCTGGAAAACACCTCAAAGATCAAGTCCAGCCATCACCCAACAGTCCCATGACCACTAAACCCTATCCCCAAGTGCCACATCTCCCCCTTTTTTGAGCCCCTCCAGGGTTGGGGACTCCAGCACCTCCCTGGGCAGCCTGGCCCAGTGCCTCACAACATCCTCTTGGCTTCTCCTTCGATCCTGTGGTGCCCATTTACCCACTCACCCTGGTCCTGCTCAGTCCTCACACTCCTGGCCACAGCTTCTCTGTCCTTCCAGGGCTGGTCCCACGCTGTAGTGAGCTGTGTGTCTCCCACTCCACCTTCACCTGGCCTCCTCTGGATTCCATTTTTGATTTAGGGCAATGTTTGTGTGCAGGGGAGTGATCATCCCCCTGCACTCAGCACTGGGGAGGCTGCACCTCAAAGCCTGGGGTCAGTTTTGGGCCACTCACTCCACGGAGGACCCCGAGGGGGACTCTTTTTGTCTTGTTTTTAAGTGTATTCTTCTGGTACTAAGGAAACTCTGTTACCCAGCATGTAACAATCATCCCAAGGGTAGCTGTGATTTTCTGGAACCAGAAGAAAGCCAGGGTAAGTAGGAAGGAGGAGCCATTTGGCTACCACATGGCCATCAGAAGATGAAGCTGACTTGCAGCTTCAAGGCTGGCTGTTGCACAGCACCCTGTTTGTGAGCAGGGTGAATGATTCCATTAGCTCTCAGGCCAGCCTGGGTGAAAATCTTGTTTAAAAAGGACACTTCCCAGCATGACTTGTTGACCTTCTGATGAATAATGAGCACAACTTTGTTGGGAAGAGGTGGCTGAGGTCACAGTGCTGGGGATGCAGGGATGGAGTTTACCCCCGAGGCCAAACACGTTGGAAAAGGCTCTTCCCTTTTCCAGAAGGGCTGCTGAAACTCTTGGCTAAGGATTTTTGTAATATCCTGTCACTTCTGGCCACTTGTATAATGACTTTTATTTTTACCCTGCAAGCTGTGTTTTGCTGGAGCTGGTCACCTGAATCAGCCTCTGGGCCACATCTAATGAACTTCTGTTGCTGTTGGAACTCATCTCGACTGTGTAATGAAACAACTACTGAATGGAAAAGGGGGAAAAAAAAAGGACATAACTGCCCCAAAAGCAGTGGAGAGAATAGTTCTGTGGAAATCTGCTGGATGTGGCTCAGATATTTTTGTCCTGGTGCTCACCATGACCCTTTCTTTTTTGTGTCAGTTATTCCTAACAGGCTCCTAGAATAGAAACCCAGCATTAAAGCTTAGAAAAATCCTCCTTTTAAAACCCTAACAGTTCTGGGTTTTTTGTGCTTGAAAGGTTTTCCTTAGCAGAGGCTGACACCAGGAGAACACCATCTTGTGAGCCTTTGAGGAGGAGATAATTGAGTGATATTTTCCTGATGAGCTTTATCTCCACAGCCACCTCAGCAAGCAGAGACTTCTCCTTGTTGCTGTTGCACAGATACAGCTCCTGGCACCCTGGCTCTAAAGAGAGGAAGAGGGTGGTGGGGGGTTAATGAAATAATTCACCAAGAACAGACAAGAATCAAGTCTGTGAACAGAAATCTGTCAGTAGATCTGATGATGAGAGGGCACAAATCACAGTGGCTGGTTGCTGTAATAAGTTGTCCCCTTCCCTTGCTTGGGTGAGAGAGTTTTTTAGAACCCCAGACTGGTTTTGGTGGGAAGGGACCTTTCAAGGGCATCCAGTCCAGTTGTGAGAGCAGCACTGAAGTCACTGACAGCAGCTGCTCCTGACAGCCCCTCAGGAACATGTCAGTTGTTTCATGGGAAGGAAGAGGCATTAGACCTTGGCAGGAGGTCTTCTCAAAGCATGATTCCTCCTGTTGAGCTGCTGGAACATCAGAGATCATGGTTTGCTTGTGTCCCAAGGTGAGAGTCAGTGTGGAGGTGAGGAGTGAGGGCAGCTGGCTGCTCTGTGTGCTCTGCAGGCAGAGCTGGGATTGCTCTGGGCTGGGAGGTGTCCATCCATCCATCCATCCATCCATGCAGGGCTCCACTGGAAGGTGTTTTTTCCAGGATGGTGTGGATGAAGTGCAGCATTTCTCTGTTCATGGCCCCAGTGGCTGCTTGTCAAAGTCTTGGAGCCTCTGAATTTGTGAGGAGAGTAACAACCCCTTTTATCTCCCTTTGGAAAGGCTCAAGCTGTAAATATTGGGGTATTTCTGTGTTTGTGTGCTGCCATAGTGATGAAATTCTGGCTTGTGCTTTGCACCCGTTGCCAGTGTGAGCGTGTAGCTCACCAGAAGTGTCAGGCAGTGTTTGCAGTCACTGCCTGACACAAGGAATGCCTCAGCCCCCTCCTCCAGGAGCCTCAGCACCTCCTCTTGAAAATTCCCCACCCATCCCAGTGCTGACATCACCCAGGGAGCTCCTGAGGTTGGGTTCTACCAGATGTGCCCTGGGCAGCCTGGCACAGCCCTGGGCAACCCTCCAGGGCAAGAAATTGTCCCTTAGGGACAACCTCAACCTCCCCTGGGGCAACTTGAGGCTGTTTCCTCTTGTCCTGTCCCTTGTTCCTTGGGAGCAGAGCCCGACCCCCCCCTGGCTCCAGGCTCCTGTCAGAGAAGGTCTCCCCTGAGCCTCCTTTGCTCCAGGCTCAGCACCCCCAGCTCCTTCAGCTGCTCCTCCCCACACTTGGGCTCTAGACCCTTCCCCAGCAGCTCCGTTGCCCTTCTCTGGCCACTCTCCAGCCCCTCAAGGTCCTTCTTGGAGTGAGGGGCCTAAAACTGCCCCCAGGATTTGAGGAGCAGCCTCCCCAGTGCTGAGTCCATGGGGACACGTGTCCCCTGTGGGCAGGCAGAGGGGTTAACAGGGGGCATCTGCCCTGCCAGCCCAGCCCTGGCCCTGGTCAGTGTTGTTGATAGCAGCAACCCTTTGGTGGGGTCTCCTGCTGAGCTTGAGGTGCATCACAGCACATCAAACAGGCAACGTTTGCCTTCAGAGCAAACTCCTCACCGTGTTCCTGGCATGTCAGCTCCATTCCCTTCCTCCTCCAGGCACACTGATGTCCTCAAGGCTCAGGGGGTCCTGGGGCCAGTGTCCTCTCAGTGATCCCAGTGACAGGACAAGGAGGAACAGGCACAAAGGGGAACATCTGAACAGTTCTACCTGAGCAGGAGGAGAAACTTCTTTGGGGTGAGGGTGCAGAGCCTGGAGCAGCTGCCCAGAGAGGCTGTGGAGTCTCCTGCTCTGGAGAGATCCCAAACCCTCCTGGCTGTGACCCTGGGTGAGCTGCTGGAGCAGGGGGGGGGATGAGATGATCCCCAGAGATCCCTCCCAGCCCCTACTGCTCTGTCTGATCATTGTAAGCTCCTAGAGATGGGATGTTTCTCTGGCATGGTCACTTAAAGTAGTTTGAGTAAAAATCCTTAGCACTATCCTGCAATTTTAAACATTTTTTGGTGTTGTTTTCCATAATGACACATGGTGCCCTGTCCTGTGTGCAAGGCATGATGGAGAAGGAATGTCTCCTGTTGTGTAATTTGACAATTTTCTCTTAGAGGTTATTGGAACATGCAAAGTTGCCATTTGCATAGAAATGGAACATCTGTAACTCTGGTTGATGTTCTCCATATGGTCCTTCTTGGCAGGGCTGGCAGGAGCTCCTGGCTGCAGACACACAAACCTCCAAGGAGCAGATCAGGAGGAAATCCTGCAGGGTGCTGGACGTGTTTGGGGGTTTTGAGGGAGATGCAGAGATGCAATAAAGGGAGAGAGAGAGCTTTGGAAGGTGAAATCAGAGTCCCAGACTGGTTTGGGTGGGAAGGGACCTTGAAAGCTCATCCAGTCCAACCCCTGCAGGGAGCAGGGACACCCCCAGCTAGAGCAGGGTGCTCAGAGCTGGGTGCAGCCTCCCCTGGGCTGGGGCAGTGCCCATGTCCTGCACACCCAGGGGCCTGGCAGGCTGGGTGCCCTTGTCTCCTGGGTGACATCTCACCTCACGAGAGGCTTTTTCCCAAGCTGCAGCCAAGTGGTGTCCCTGGCTCCTTTCCAAGGGTGGGTGACACTGGGGTGGGTCAGTGTTCTCAGTCAGGTGCTCTTGACTTCTGCCACTGCAAGGGAAAACAGACTAATGCTCATGTCTCATTTCCTGGCCTCTTGAGCCCCTTTTGGACCAAGCTCAGAGGCCTCCACAGACTCCTGAAGATCTTCCAGTTCAATCTTTTCCACTTTTGAACTCCTACCTTCCTTCCTGTACCAGCTGCACCTTCAGATCATCCATGTCTTGTCTGCTGGACTTTCTGGCAGGACCCAGCTCTGAGTTTCTCCAGGAAAGCTGCTGGTTGATTGAGGACTCTGGTTGATTGAGGACTCTGGGATCCAGTGGCACAATTTTTCACTCTCTGCTTTGATTCTGCAATGAAATGTAGATGATTTCCCAGGAGGTTGAAGGGGAGCTGGGAATCTGATGCAGCTGGAAGACAGAGGTGATTGTGAGCATCTCACTCCTCCTGGTAGCTTGCTGGTGGCTGAGTGGAGCATCCCAAAACCAGCAGTGGCCTCAAAGGTGCTCTGCAGGTATCCTGAGGTTGCTCTGCTTTGGCTACTCTTGGCTCACACTTGGTAGTTTTCTTTGCAGTGATTAAATCTAATCACACAGGTTCATTTCAGAGACAACAGTGAGTTTGTATCCTGGAAAAAATACCTCCAGACTTCCAGGAAAATAGGTGTGAGAGAGTCTTAATTCCACATCTGTGGGGCAGTGAATGTTTTTCATGTGTAATACATAGAGATAAAACCCAAGCACGTGTGAGTTAATTTTTGTGTACCATTATATCATTTTTAACATACCCAAGTACAGCTATTTCTGAGCTTTCTTGTTTTTTGGTGTGTTTTTCTTTTGAAAGAGTGAAAGTCCTGCAGGAATATCAAGGCAGCCATCCACAAAAGGATCAAGGCAACGTGCCAGACCCGGAGGAGAAGGTAACTAGAGGGAGGATATTATTTCTATTAAATATTCTGGAGGGTTATTGAATAGGAGCAGCATAAATACTTAAATATCCGTGTTTATTATTTTCAGGGCTTGTTTTATATTCCCAGCCTGTGGTTGTGAATCCAAGAGGCAATTTTTCAGCCTGGGTTTCATGCCTGGTTCAGGTTGCCTGTGTTCCTCCTGCAGAGCTGGGGGTGTCAGTCCAGCCTGCTCCTGCCATTCAGTGTGTTGTCTCTGGTTGGGCTTTTTCACTTGGTCTGTAATTATTTTTATCTATTTTTTGGCAAGAATTGATTCTTTGCTTAATAACCTGACAAGTTCAGACAAATACACCTTGCAGAAGTTTGCCTTTTATATTCTCTTAACACACACTGTCCAAGTGGATAAAATCATTGCCCATTACTTCAACTTCTACACGACCACATGGAACAAACCTTTAAATCTGACTTTTAATAAGAGCAATATTCAGCATGGTGGTTTTTTTTAACTAAGAATTAAGACAGAAGGTTGATTTAGTCAATTGAAAGACACTTGTGAGGCAAGGTGTGCTGTGCCTGGAGGCATCAGTCATACAGCATCAACCCTGAAGTTGTAACTTCAGCATTTGTTAATATTTGGCAAGAGTACTCTTCCTAATTTTGGCCAGAGAGTCCAATCTTCACTTATTTTATGCCTTTTTCCAGTTGTTTTTCAAGGATCTGAAGTCTCAGTGTTTGGTCTTTGGGAGTTTTGGGTTTATAAATGAACATATTTGTCAAAAAAAAGCCCAAACCAACAAAACAAACAAACAAAAAGGGGTGTTCTGAGGTGGAGTGAGTGCTGGGCAGTGCAGAAGGGAGTGTCCCTGGGTAGTTGTGTGGTAGGCAGTACATGGAACTGCCCACAGTTGGGCTTTCTTCAGCCATGAGGAGATGGGTGGGTGAACTGAAGATCAGCCAGACCTTCCTGAGTGATTCCACAGCTTGAGACACTGAATATTCTCCAGGTGTGAGCTGGGGAACAGTGAGGAGGAGGCACTGAGTGGAACCTCTGCCTTGCAGCCCATCTGGTGCTGTGGGAACATCCCTCTGAGGACAGGAACAGCAGCACGTGTTGGTGGCTTTTTAGGCACCTTAAATACCTGGAGAAGCTCTGGCAGTGTGGAGTGAATGTGTTGATTTCAGAGCTTAGTTCAAATTGGTGCTTGGAAATGGCCAATTTTACCTCCTATCTCAGGTACTTCTGTGCTGGGAGGCTGGAATAATTTTAATCATTTTGCAGCTGAAAAATACCATCTGGGTTCCATTAAATGGAGTCTTGTTTTACTCCTTGGTGATCCTTAGCTGATCCTATAACTTCTCTTATTTCCCAAGATTAGAATATTTGGTTTACAGCCTGAACTGGCACTCAGCTGCAGTGACCAGACACACACCAGTTTATGGGGTCATCCCTTTTTTAAGAGCAAGATCCAGTTTTTCTGATCAATTAAATCTGGTTAATGACTTATCCTGTGCTTTGGCTTTGAGGTGATGCCATGGGCAACGTTGTCATCATTGTCATAGTGTAACTGGAGGGGTTTTTAAGATAAATGCTAGATAAAATGGTCTCTTTTTTTTTCATTTCTTGATTTGCAAAACTAAATCTGCTTTAGGTAGCATCAAAAGTAGCATTTACTAGGTAGCATTTGTGGATTAGGCTCTTTTTAGGGCATCCCCAGCAGGTTGTGGAGTTCAGCTGCCACAAATCTGCTTCTCTTGCTTGAAATTTCTTCATAGCTTTAGGATAAAAATGTGTTTAAAGCTAAACCAACCGAAGTATTTTCTGTGTTCCAAGCAGTATACAAACAATAGTGAGTATTTTAGCAATTATTTAGACTTTAGGAGGTAATTATTGTATTGTTTCATCAGCTCTCAGGCTAATAAACATCTATAAATCCTTTCTGGAGTGAAGAAGTTGCCATTAGCTTGAAGCAAGGCACAGAATCCCATCAGCAGCCCTGTAAGGAGTCTTTGTGGACTCTGAATGTTATTTATTTACAGCCAAGGTGGTTGATTCCACTAGGAATTAGTTTAATAAACCTTGCAGAAATAGTAAGTGCAGCAGCTAGTTAGCATGGTGGTTTTATTTTCAATTTTTAGCTTGTTTTTGGGTTTATTTGACTCTCAACTGCTTTGTTTTACAGGAGCTGTGGAAATGAAGAGTGTGGCTGATAGGATCTCAGAGGAGAGTGTTCCTAACCTGCAAGAGAGAGCTGAACCAGCACCTGCCACAAGCCAGAGAGGTGAGGAGAGGGAAAAGCTGGATCCTTGCAGCTGAATGATGGAAGGAGGGTGATGGACACTGACCCCAGCTGCTGCCCTGTGCTTTGGTCCCTCCTCCTGTGGGTTTTTCAAAGCAGGAGATCCCTCGTTCCCCGAGAGACCAGCTGCTCTTATTTTCTCTTTCCTCACTCCTGTGCATCTTCCCAGAGCTGCTCCCAGTGTCCCAAGGGGGGTGCAGGGCTGCTGCATCCCCCCTGAATCCCTGGGGGGATGTGGTCCCTCTGAGAACTTCATCATCATCCCCCCTGAACCCCTGGTGGGACATGGTCCCTCTGAGAACTTCATCATCATCCCCCCTGAACCCCTGGTGGGACATGGTCCCTCTGAGAACTTCATCATCATCCCCCCTGAACCCCCAGGGGCACGTGGTCCCTCTGAGAACTTCATCATCATCCCCCCTGAACCCCTGGTGGGACATGGTCCCTCTGAGA